ATAAATAAATTAATAAATAAGTGTTCTTTCCGAATTTCTACTTTACCACCTCGTATTTTTGTAGGTTGCGCCGCCATATTGAAAAATTTGGCCAAAAAACAGGTTTTTCACAATATTTCCTTTTCTTTTAAGCATTTCAGTTTTTTCTTCCCCAAAATGTTTCATAAACCTGCTCTAGGCCTATGCATAACAACTACCTAGCTCCTTAAGCTTATATGTCCAAGCAGTCCTTGGCTCCGCCTGGTCATTAGGATGTTATATTTGAGAAAAGATAATAATTCTATTAAAACTTGTATTAAAAAGAAAAAAGGTCATGAACAAATAATTTATTCTTAAGTTGTCTATTACTCCTTAGTTAGGGCTTTAGCAAAATCGTGTAATTTCTGGTCAGGTAGATGGTAATGCCTAGCAAACATCTGGGATGCGTTTGTCCAACCTGCTATCCTCCTTATCACTTGTAAAGAAGCCCCGTTTTTGAAGTCTGTAGACGTAGCATCATGCCTCGTAGAGTATGTACAGGGTGATCTATTATAAATGTAACCCCCTGCTAACTTTTTCATTTGACGTTTTTGACAGAAGTGTCAAATACAAAAGTTTCAAGAAATTGTCAAAAGTTTTTAACTAAGTCAGTTTAAGGCATACAGGGTGCGTCAAAAAAGTGCATCAGTGTGAAGTTATATTTTTTTGAATGGAATATCCTGTATATTGTGCGCCTATTTGTTAGTCCCCTTTAACCTGATTTCAACGATATATGGTTTGATATGTTTTTCCCTCGGTTTATCTTTAATAGTTATAGGGAAAAACACGAAAATTCCTTCCTAGGACTCTCATGATATTTTTTTAAAAATAAAAATAATAGCTTAGACATCTGGATTTATTATAATATTTCACCTTGTATATATTAATGAATAAAATTTGAACAATAAACTGATAATAAAAAAAATTCTTTAAAGCTTAAATGGTATAATTTTCCTTTTTTCAATATGAAACCTTAAAAGGGGTTTTCATGTTTTTCCCTATAACTATAACATATCAAATCCTATATCGTTGAAAACAGGTTAAAGGGGACTAACAAATAAGCGCACAATATACAGGGTGTTCCATTTAAAAAAAATATAACTTCACGCTGCTGCACTTTTTTGACGCACCCTGTATGCCTAAAAGTGACTTATTTAAAAACTTCTGACAATTTCTTGAAACTTTTGTATTTGACACTTCTGTCAAAAACGTCAAATGAAAAAGTTAGCAAGGGGTTACATTTATAATAGATCACCCTGTACCAAATATCCTGGTATCAATACCAGCCTCTGATAGAGTAGCCCGAGGGGTTATTCACTAAGGGAAAAATGTGACAAGATTTCGGATTTTGGAGGATTTCGGTAAGATTTCGGTAGGATTCCGGAAAGATTTCGAGGAATTATTCACTGTGACAAGATTTCAGATTTAGAGCGATTCTAAGGGATTTCGGTTGATTTCGAAGGATTTCGGGCCAATTGCAAGGGATTTTTGAGTCTGCGGAATGATTTCTGAGAGATTTCGAAGGGATTTCGGAGTGATTTCGTGAATTTCGGGGATTTCAGTAGGATTTTGGAAAGATTTCGAGGATTTCGGACGAAGTTGTGACACGATTTCGGAGCACTTTTAATCTAGTTGGTGGTAGTACTAGTACTTGCTGTGTTAAATGGAGGACGAATACATAAAAATAGAAATTCCTAACATTCAGATCTATATTCAGCAGATCGTGAGCTGTATGCTTCCAAACAGGAAGCTGGAGTTTATCTTGAAAATATGGGATTTGCAAGCAGGGGTTACTAGTGTTGCTGCTGGTAGTTTTTATGTAATCTGATATAAATATCTGTAAACCTGATTATGTTTTCAACTCTTATTCTCGCCAGTGTTGCAGTCTTTCAGGATAGGGCTATTAGGAATAAAGATTCATTGGGAACTTTTGTTTCCAGGAAATCTAGAACTATGTTAGCGTCCCAAAAAAAAAAAACATATTTTCTTCTAGGTGGCCTTAACTTGAAAATGCCTTTCATAAACCGCATTATATTTGGTTTATAACCTATATCAAAATCCAAAATAAGTGATAAAGCAGATCTGTATGTGTTAAATGAGCTGCTCAGTTTGAAACTGTTCACCTAGGAAATTTATCACCTGCTGTTCATCCGCTGTCAAAACGGAGAGCTTGTGAAGTTGGCAGAAATCCCACCAATATTTATAGGCACTTTGATAGTAGAGTCTTCAAGGGATCTTATAAGAATAGATATTGCTTCTTCTGGATAATTATTATTTTTACCGTTTAGACTAAAAATTACTGGGTAATTTATAGGGATAAATATCTTTACCAAAAAGGAGGGGGTGTGTAACGACGTTACGGAATTTTTTCTTTTGTTTTAAAAGGTACCGCGAGTTAAAGTGCATGTTCCAATAATGTTCTCCTGATAAGAGCCCTGCCTCCAGGGGAAAGGTTCAGTTGCTTGAAGCACCTAGAAGGAAAAATAATAGGGATGAAAAATAATTGGATGTTTAATAAGTATCATTCTCCAAGGTTGTGAGGGCCATCTTGAAATCCCTAAAATACCTGTCTAACTGTATTTTGTTTAATACTCGAAGTACTAGACAAAAGGGAGGGAAAGCATAAAAGAAAAGAAATGATAAAAGCGTCAATAACGACTGAGCCTGGATCTGGAACATATGAGGCATATATGGGACATTTCTTGTTTATGCAAGATGCAAAAAGGTCAATAGTTGGATTGCCCAAAAAATTAGTGATTATTTTAAACAAAGTATTATTTAATTTAAATTCTGTTTCAGTGGGTAGTATCTTTGATTGGTGGTCAGCTATAATGTTTTGAGTTGTGTTACAAATTAATTGATTATTTGAACTTTAAGAAAAGATAACCTAGGGTCGTGGAATTCAAAAAATTAAGATAACGTGTGACTACACGTCAAGTCAGGACGGACTGTAAGACCCAAATGTTAATGAATACTTTTCTATTTGTTTCTCGGAACAACAAATTTAACAAGGGTTAAAAAAGCATTATTAGTGATTTTAATTGAAAAATCTGAAAAATTAAAATTTTCACTCCTTTTTATTGCCATAACTTTTTTGCTATTTATCCTATTGAAACGATTAAAAAATCAAAATGTGTGTTTTTTAATTCTCTATAAAAAAAGTATTTTACACATTTTCCAAAAAAACTCACCGTTAACGAGTTATTTATAAATAAAAAGACTCCTTTATGTGCAAATGAAATCACTCAAAATCCAACAAACAATAATTTTATTTGATATTTAACAAGTTAATATAGTGACAATGCCACTTTCTTTAAAACATAACAGTTGATAGCTTGGTTTTTCCGGTGAATATGATACCATGTACCTTTCCAATCCGGAGCTTTTCAATGGGTGTTGAGGTTTCACTTTAGTGAACTGGAGCTCTTCGTGTTGTTTGCTGTATCCAGGAAAGAGGATAGATTGCTGGGGTGACGTCACTCCAGCTGATCCAGACTCCAAACAGTGATCTTTATGTAGAGTAGGTACCCAGAAAAGAATAAGGCAGTATCAGGTTCACCAATATTTGGAATATTAAATCCCTGATTTCTGTCAAAAAATGGTAAAATTAAAATAATAACAGCAAGATTAAATTAAAATGCTCGTTATGATTGAGCAAAATGCTGCTTTTCTGGCAGTAGTTCTGGCAGGCAAAAATATGAACAAAATAAGGTAAAACAATAAGAAATAAAATTTTTGGATTCTCCCCCAAATAGACAAAATTTTCCTTTCAAATTAAGGCAACAGGTAACTACTTTAGATACTACAAGATAAACCTGACGGTGAAATCAATCAAATCCAGAATATGTCAAAATTCTTAGGATGTTTTAATTAAAACTTTTTAACTGAACTTTTGACCTGTCTGGATTTCTATTAAAACAAATTATACCCTTTAGTCGAGATAATAATTGACGGAGTCAAACAGAAAATTGCTATTCAGGTCTCTGCCTGCATTCAATAAAGGGTTGATAGGGATGGACACACAAATTTGGTTTTTAGCGACTCTGTTTAGAGCAAATGGTCCAATATTCCCACACTAACAATTCATTCTGAAAACCAGAGCAGCAGTACCTATTTAAAGTCCATAAATCTGAATTGACTTACCTCAGATAAACGTGGCACTGTCAATCGCACAAAATGGGAGCCCACAATTAAATAAAAAATTAAAATATGATATTTATATTTCAAGAACAAATAAGATAAGATTTATCAGATAAAAACTTAAAAATGATATGATAATATGCATTGATTAGCAAAATATATTGAAAAATCTATGAGAGAGAATCCAAAAATATAAAGCAAAAATTATTAGAAATAAAAAGGACTTGCCTGCCAGACTTCTGTCGAGAAAAGAAAACGTTTTAGAAACCAAACCCCACAGGAAAACGATCCTGTGTTTTTTATACTTAACTGCATTTTAACCAGTTCAACTAATCAGAAGAGTACACCCAAAAGAACATATTCATTTTACAATGAAACCCCACGTGAAATAAAAGAGAATAGATAAAAATCCACCAGAATTATTTTAATTGTTTACAAGTATCTATTAACTTTTGGTATTTTAAACATTCTTGATGGACAACATGTGTATTAGAACTTGAACATCTTCAATACTTGATTGTCAATTTCTTCTTCTCAAAAGTATCGTAGATTCGTAATTTCCTCGTCGCCAATATTAATTTTAGAATACAAATTATCTTGAGTCGTTGCAATGTTTCGCTTTTAATAAAGAATGCTTCAGGCCGGATTATGAAATATTTACTTGCCCTCAAAAACAGAAACTCAATGTTGATTTTAATGGTTATAATCGTCCAAGCATTTCAGAATTTCCTTTAATTTTTTGCTTTTCCAGTAACAAATTAATGGACATTTTGTTGAATTTTTCACTAGAACAATTTGATATTTTTCAATTTATCTAATAACGAATTATTTTTGTTTTACAGTAAAAGAAAACACAAATGGCAGACCGCAACCGCTCCTACAAGAACCGCACTACGGCTCGAGACCGCAACCTTACAGTAAGTGTACGTCAATAGCTTCTTTTTTAATTTTTAAAAGCCCCATTATTTAAAAACTTCCATTTCCTTTAAAAAGTTATGAAAAAGTTAATAGAGTTTGGCTGATCCAATATAAAGGGGCATTTAAAAGTTTCAATATACAATAGAGTGGCTTTTCGGGGTGCAAAAATCATATAATCACTTGCCGGGAGGTGAGAAATTAATGGGGCCCGGGCGAAATTGCTCGTTTGGGTGCAACAAAGCTCAATAATTGTGCACTGAATAAGTTACCGGCACCGGGGACACCTGGTGCACGTCGTTGTTCCAGAATTAATACGCATCGGGCATTATCCATCATTTCGGAATAAATGAAACTTAAATGTTAATTAGGCCTTGGACTGAAAATATACATGCACGTGTAGGAAACTATTTACACAACATTGCATTGTGTGTGTGTGTTTCTAGAATAGTAGAATGTGCCCGGCCACTCCCCTGCAACGTTCCCAGTTTCACATTAACAATTTAAATTAGGCAACTTTATACAAGCCACTGAGTTCTTTCTGAAAAAGAGTTTTAATTTTTCCAAGGCGCCATTAGAGATATTGTAGGAGACAAGTTTAACTTTCAAGATGAGTGATTGCGCTTTTGAAGATTTAATTAGTTGAAGTTTTTCGCATTGTAATTTAAAACTTCCAATGGTCAAAGTTAGTATTTGTACAATACCTAACCTCAAAATTAAATTCTAAGGGTTAACGGTAATTGGTTCGGCTTGTTGTTGATGACGAAACGATAATTAAGTTGGATGATTTGGGACCGACCCGTATTATTGGAGGCCCGGCTAAATACGTTTTAACAATTAAATGGATTCGGGTTTGAGCCACATTGAGAGCTATTATCCGGGAGTGAATCTTGAGGAATGGTATGAATGTTTTCCTAGGATGGTACAAAGAAAACTAACTGATTGAATCATTAAAAAGAGTAGGTATGTTTTCAAATGTTATCAATCGATCAATCAGTCATTCCTAACTCTTGTGGAAATTTTTCCAAGAATTCAACATTCCTTTCCAAATGATCATTTGGATTGTAGAAGTCTCTCCTGCCACTAGAATGACCCCCCTACGTTGGGCGCCAATTTTGTTACGAGTCTTAAAGCGACAGGGAGTAGCTAAGAGAGGAAAGAGTAAAATAATGGATATGACTCTTGAAGGTGGCCTAAAGAAGAAATTCGACTTATAGGGATGCTCCGACTAGCCGACAAAATTCCGGTGAGTGAGGTGGCGCCTTTATTTAGACCCTCCCCACTCACCCGAATTTTGTGGGCTAGTTGGAGCATCCCTATAAGTAGGATTTCTTCTTTAGGCCACCTTCAAGAGCCATATCCATCCCTCTACTCTTTTCTCTCTTAGGCACCCCCTGTCGCTTTAAGACTCGTAACAAAATTGGCGCCCAACGTGGGGCGCCAATTTGTTACGTGTCTTAAACTACATGGGGTAGTTAAGAGAGAAAAGAGTGAAGGGGTGGATATGACTCTTGAAGGTGGCCTAAAGAAGAAATTCGACTTATAGCATCTGCCGCATCGTTTCACTTATGTGGTAACCAAATTGTATGGGGCTTTGACTTTTGGAGAAAACGATAGCTTCATATTTAGAGGCATTGAGTTCCATGTCACTTGTGACACACCATGTAGTCTGGCATAGTCTTCGGGGGAGAAGACTCGGGCGAATATCTTTAAGTTATCGTGTTACGTGGAAATACGGACACTGCCAATTTGTTACCCGCAAAACCGATTGAAAGGTGAATAATAAACTTTGAGGAAGTGGGTGGGACAGTGAATGGGTAACTAGAAACGTGACTTCGTGTGAAGGGTGGCCGACTAGCTTCCAATGCGGAGAGGGGTGTGGGTCAATTAGATAACTAAATATAGAGCGCCACCTGCTTTGTCCCTGCAGTACACGAAGTCAACCGATATAACGAAAGCAGGAAACTTCTACGGACCTATAGCAGCACAACCTGAAATATAAACGTAAACAAGGAAGGAAATAAGTGAAACGCTTTGCTACAATCAGGTACGGGTTTTAATTAGAACCAGAAATGTGAACAAGAACAGGTTGACTTTAGATCAGGTTCGGAGTGGGTTTACCGAACGCTCTGGAACACTGACAATTATTAACACTAGAACCAGAACAAGAAAAGAAATCGTCTAGGAACTAGGAGTACCTAACCTTATATGCTCTAAAAATAGTAATAGTATTTACAATAAATTAACTCAACTTGAGTCCCTTAAAGCAAAGAGTATTGTATAACAGCAATAATACCTGAAATATAAATAATGAAAAGACAAGCTTATCAAATGCAGTACCTTCGTAAATGGCCATTTATCCCCAGTGTACAAGTATTTTCCTGTATTCAGTGCCGCATGTATTTATGGGATAGTAAAAAGATATAGATCATTAATCAGAGTTGAAGTAACAATACGCAACCTGAAGGGCAAGTTTCATAAAAAAAAAGGTAATATAGAAAATTAATTAAAAATTGAAATAACACACATAATCTGAAGGGTAATTTGATCTTGTAGTAGAACGGCGTTGCTGTGGTGATATAGGTACTCCAACAAGGGGTTGGTAAGGGTTGATAGGCTTCAGATATTAAGACATTACAACACACTTATCAAACCTGAGTAGTCCCTAATCTCTTGGGGAGAACCTGACAGGTGGGATGAATATCTTCCAGTGTTTCCAATGGCCTGGGACTGGATCAGGGCCGCAACAAGAAGCAACCTGGCCCTGGGCACTGAAGTTCAGTGACTAGGAGTTACTAAAGCTTCCAATTGTCTAGAGGAGGCTGAAGATAGGAGGTAGGTACGACTTGAAGTATACAGTAAGCTTGACGTATAACTTATTATTCTAAGTAAGGACTAAAGCGAGAAGAATAAAGGTGACGTCTAAAGGTAAAGATTAAAGGCCTGAAACAAATGGACGTTATGAGACAGGGCGTGGAGCAATAGGTAGGTATGTCCAATATTCGGAATTTAACCGTATAATTAACAGAAAACTATACTTTTACATAGGAAATAGAGAAACACAGAGAAAACAAATAAGAAAACGACTTACCAAAATACTTTGGCCTTTAGGAACAAACAATTGATCACGTTGCTGTTTTTCGGCTCACAAAGAAATCCGCACAAGGCGATTTGGTGCTAAAATAACGGATTAGCCACCCTAGATTTATGAGCGAAAACTGGACAACTCAGAAAATCGGCAAAATGTGCCTGAGGAGTTTTCCCGAACACTTAATCGTGGAAAGTCCTCGACCTGAATGACCTCTGCTTGTCCCTGCAATGTCCTTTAAAAAGGTTCTGTCAAAACTACAAGGTGGAAGGTACTGGGGATTTTGATGGTAGTTGGGGCATGGGACTTATTCAGATTAAGTTAATACCGGTCATTGACCCTATTTGGAGCGCTGTCAACCTAGTCAATCTAATCGGATCAGATAATCAGCTGTTCTAATTCTAAATATTGTGATTTTGTTTATTAATAAATTAATTGTCTATTTATTTCAACCCTACTAACAGGAAATCAATTTCATTAATAAACCTCTAACTTAATGATTCTGGGAAGAATGAAAAGTTTGACGAAAAGTGTGGCCACAACTATTGGATAGAAAACCGTGGCTTAAGGAAGGTATGCTATTCTGTGAGGTGAATACGCTTATTTCCTCCTATTTTGGCCCAGGAAAAATCATTCCGTAACAATCGGCAAATCACGGAAACTCACTATTAATGAAACAAGAACCAATATCGTTGATGAAAATATTGAATAGCAGAGATCCTTGTGTGATTTGTACCTTGGGGTGTAATAACATGACCCAAATAATGCACTTGCTCACAAGCAAAGGTGCATTGTTAAGGTGAAGTTTAAATTCTTTTAAGCGGCCAAATGTTCTCTGTAAATCTTGTAAGTGTTTTCTAGCGTTTCTAACAGGATAATTATATCATAAAGGTTGTCAAGAATTGCTATATCCTGTAATCCAGAGCGAAAACGGTCGATTAGCCTCTGAAAAGTTGAGGCCGCATTTCGCAATCCAAATGGCATCACTTTATAACGAAATAAGCCAAAAGGAGTAATAAAAGCCGTTTTGTCTCTATCAGCCGGTCGAAGACTGATTTGATGGTAACCAGACTTCGGATCCAGTGTGGTCATGTATGTAGGGATGCTATTTCTAGCACAATTGTACTAGATCTAGCACAATCACGTTTCACCTAGTACGCTAGTACCTCTCTCATAAATCTAGTACCATTTAGAATACAAGTCGAGTGTCGCTCTTCGCTCTATATCGTACCCGAGTTCTGCACTCCACTCTCTACTTTTGGGTTGGGTTTCACGTTCCGGTCCCATTACGGTGTGGCTTAAGCCAAATAAGAAACTGGCGTTTCGAATATGAGGCAATTTTTGGCGAGAATATTCAAGCATAATCTGATTATGCTGGGTTATGTGATGTGTCAATTGTGTCATACTTCCCTAACTCCCTTTCCATCAAATTCTGGGCCTGCGAAAGACATCACTATCAGCAGAAATTAGCAATGACGTCACCCGCAGACCTTAATCGAATTCTTGCGATTCAGGCTATGCTAGTGAGTTAATTTTTTCGTCGATTTTAAATGTAGAAAAGGTGATTTTCGGTCTGTTCTCACAGAACAAATTAGTGTTCTTGATCCTCGAGTATCCCATAATTTGGGGAGTTTTTTATTCTGTGACTTGACGTGTGTCATGAATCGGTGGTTATTCGATTATTCAGCGGATCATGGTAATCGGTAGTCGATTTATAACTAAATATGTAGAAATTTATTTATTTCCATCATTTAGGGCCGGTTTCCAAATAGCGAGTCACCCCCAGGGTTAAGGATAACTCTAGGTAAACATTGCAAATAGACACGTTATTGAGAAACTAGAGGTGAGTTGCGATTTTACGAACTGTGACTTTGTCACTGCTACTCGTCTGTCACAGTCACGGCCTGCTCCGGTCCCACT